AAATACAAAATTTAATCCGTGAATATGCTCAGAAAAGACCTATTCTATCATATTCACGGATTAAATTTTGTATTTACCTCTTAGAAAGAAGTTTATACATTTTATAAAATACAACCGTTTGATGACTTTAGATTTTATGTACCATATGATTAAGAGAGGCATAATATGTCATATTTGTGGAGAAATATATAGAATTTAAAACAACCTATTGTCAATTATAGATGTACCAGCCAATCTTGATTCATTTTACTTTTCTTATCTTTATTACAAGATCTTGTGTTATATCAACTCTATCACCAAAAGCTAAATTATATACGATCAACAAAGCATCATTACGAATATCGATACGTATGTCTTTTTATGGTGTAACACAAACAAAAACACCTTTGTTATTGTTATATCAATTAACAATTAATAATTTATATGGCTTCAACTCTTCCTATTTTATGCCTTGAAGAAATTTTAGAAAATCTTCGAGATGATTTACCATCTTTATTTTCGTGTGTTATGTCGAATCGACATTGGTGTAAGATCGCCATTAAATATTTATGGTGTAATCCTTTTCGCGAAACAACAAATGATAAGATTCTTAGTGCAATTCCTTTGATGTGTTTTGATGATAAAAAATTTGTCTTTCCTTATCTCGATTACATCCGAGAAATCAATTATCCAACATTGTTAGATATTACCAAAGACACCAATGATGTGCGTTGCAATCCCAAGGCGATTTTGGTGTCGATTGTCAATAGAGTTAATACCAAAATTATTCGTTTAAATATCGATAATATTAGGGAACAACAGCAGCAAAACGACTTTGACGATTTTCAATATTCTGAACTTAGTTGGATGATGGAATTGTTTGATTTACCGGCTGCTTCGAACTCTTTATCCCAACTCTACAGTCTGACGATTTGTAATCAGAATGCCAATGAAGTTCTCAAGGCAATCGATAACAAATTATGTCCAAATCTTATTAGCGAATTGAAGATTATGATTTATCATAATAGAGGAGATTGGGATTTTGATCCCAGAATATTAGAACAGGTGATTTTTGATATTAATCGATTGAGCTCTTGGATACAATTAAAGAGTTTCACTACACAATTTGGAAATGAAATTGAGGAGGATGCCCTCTTTGGCAGTGATAACTTTCTCTTAAATTTGGCGAATTGCCTTCCGCCAGTAATCATGGACAATCTATGTCTCGCTGGTCCCTTCGCATTTGCTCCGGAGAATTTGGATATTTTTTTCAATACAACTAAAGCAAGCTTTGTAAAGATTTCGCTTCCAAAATCTACATTAATTTGGGATTCGGCTCTTGAAGCCTTTGCTAAAAACACCAAAGGAATCTTAAAAGAATTGGATATCCCACGTGCTTCCAAAATATCATTTGACGCTTTATCTAAAGCAAAGTTAGTGATACCAAATATCAATGTATCGATTGTAAAAGGGGATTCCAACTGGAGAACAAATATCGATAGTACTCATTCTGATGGAGAGAATTATTATGATAATGATGATAACGATGACTACGACTCTGACAAAGTGCGATTTGATGACGAAAATGAATTCCAACCTGGATTCAGGCCAGAAGATGATTTCTGGCCGGACGATGATTTCTTTGGTGCATGGAAATAATCGAAGGATGATAATAACTATTTTGTGTTTATCATATCAACTGTATTCATGTTCAAAGAATGTAGGAATTATTATTATTATAAATATAAAATTTTTTCTACACCGCTCTTTCCTTTAGATACTAAGTCAGAATATTTGCTTGAAAGGCTTATAAGTCTAACTAAAAATCAGTATTAATAAAAACAAATTTTTCTTTGTTAAAGAATCGTGAGGTAAAATCTACTATTTGCCTTTTTCCTAGTAACAATTAACAATACAAAGGAATTTATCGATGCAAGAATTTTGGCTTACTAAGTTTACAATTCCTGTTTAATTTTCAGAAATCTAGCCAAAGTAACTATTTTGAGAATTTCTCAAGGTACCATTATTATTTCTTGCCATGTTCTCCGTATCCATTATTATTAGAATTTTTCAAGGGCTTGTTAAAGGATATGGTATTGTTCCAGCACCAGAAATAAAAATATCATTATGATTTGGTTGTTTCGGGTCAAATTGTTGCTTCTAGGTTTTTATTTTATTACCGTTGAAGGGCCGAAGTTATTGTTGCTGTTACCATTTGATACATATGACATGCGGTAATATGGTACGTAATCTAAAACTTTTTGCTCCAAATTATGTGCATTACAAATAACGATGATTTGTTTGAAAAACCGACCCTTGGGAAAGTAAAATTGGGTGACTATAGAGAGGTGTGACTAGTCACTTAATAGTTGGAAAAGTCAATAATACATGTACGTGTACGTATTATGTTCACAGTGAACAATAGATTCTGATTTCAATGTTCAGGTTTTATTGGTGCCAGAACTATGTCACAAGAGTCAAATAAATTTCCAACACTGATCGAAATGATATTATTTGAATTTTGTTGAAGACGATAATTTTCTGCTAACTTTTTTAATTAAGAACGTGTTTAGTAACTATCGTTATCGCTATAGAGGGATTTAACTGTATAAAAAATAAATACGTAAACAAATAAATTAACATCAATATCGGCATATTGTATAGAAAAATAGTATCGCGATGTCAGAATCAACCCAAAAATAGTGTCGCAAGTAAAGTTAGTGATTATCACAGATATAGTTTTTGATATGAGAAATGTTAATCTAGCAGGATTAATTCATAGGTAAAATCTCATTTTATAAATACAATAGTTGGTAATTCAGGAAATTATTTATTATATTATTTAGATATTAATTATATTTTAGGCTTATAATACTACATCTATTTATATATTATTTAAATATTTCATCATTATTTAAATTATTTAGACTTTTCACTATTTTGACCAAAAGCTAAAGTATATTAACTAGAAACAAATAATTTTAACTATCAATATTAGTTGCAAGTAAAAATAGCATTTTAATTAGTTACAGCTTGCAATAACTAATTAAAAAGATATAATTGAGTTGCAACTATATAATATATATAATTTAATTAGTAATGAAACTATATTAAATTCTTAATAACAAAAAAATCTTTATTAGTACTAAATATAATTATATTATCAAAATCAAAATAATTATTAGTAACAAATTTGATATAAAAAATAAAATTTTACTATGCAATTATATTATTTGTAATTAGAGATATAGATATATTATAAAGATTGCAATTCTAATTACAACTCACTTATGACATATTAAAGTTGCAACTGCTAAATTACCATATTTAAAATACAACTTATAGTAAAGTTACAACTCTGATCTTACAATATCATCAGGAAATTTTTATATCCGATTATAATCGATTATTATCCAATAATCAATTATCATCGATTGTTAATAATCGATTATAATCGATTGCAATCAGATATAATCGATGATTATTAAAATCGAATATAA